ATCCACTAAGAATATGTTAAATTCGAAATTTGACATAAAAGATATGGGTTTAGTTGATGTCATCCTTAGAGTCAAAATCTCAAGAATATCAGATAGGCTTTGTTCTAAGTCACTCACATTATGTGGATAAAATTTTAGAAAAGTTCAATAAAGATGATACTGGTTTGGCTAGAATTTCAATAGATACAAGTCAACACCTATCTAAAAACAAAGGTGAAAGTGTCTCTCAAATAGAATACTCAAGAGTTATTGGAAGTTTAATGTACTTGATGAGTTGTATAAGATCAGATATATCCTACACAGTCAGTAAACTAGGTAAATACACGAATAATCCAAGAGTTGATCACTGAAAAGAAATAATGAGAGTACTAAGGTACTTAAAATATACTCGTGACTATGGACTACATTATACCAGATATACAACGGTCATTGAAGTATACAGTGATTCTAATTGGATATCTGATATAAAAGACTCGAAGTCCACCAGTGAATTTGTGTTCACATTGGGGGTGTTGCCATATCGTGGAAATCCTTTAAACAAATAGTTATAATCAGATCTACGATGTAATCTGAGTTTATAGCTCTAGATAAATGTGGTGAAGAGACCGAATGGTTGCGCAACTTCTTAGAGGATATTCCAAGATGATCAAAACATGTGCTAGCAATTTGCATATATTATGACAGTCAATCAGCAATAGGAAGGGCACAGAGTAACATGTACAATGGTAGGTCTAAACATATACGTCGTAGGCACAATACCATAAGACAACTACACTCAATTGGAGTTATCACTATTGACTACGTAAAGTCAAAAGATAATATTGCAGATCCGTTAACTAAAGGATTAAATAGAGAGTTAGTTGAGAAATCATCGAAAGGAATGAGACTTAAGCCTTTGAATGGATAAGTCATTACAAAGGAAACCCAACCTAGTTGACTGTAGATCCCAAGATCTAGGTTTAAATGGACAACCTAATTTTAAAGGCTTAATAAAATCATTGTGAAGGTGTTTCGTCATGTCCATTCCTAGGATGTAACAGTGATGCCCGTAAGGATGAAGGATAAGCAATAGGCTTTCAATGATTCTTATGCGTAAAAAATCGAGTAAAGTAATGCGGGTTACTTGTAATAAAAAATCACCTATGTAAGAGAGAAGTAGGGTCGCTTCTAAGAGAATTGTGTGGGGCTCAATTCTTAAGAACTCTCACAGAATCATGCATATGTTCATGGCCAAAACGAACATAATAATGAAAACTGAATTGTGTTAGGAAGAATCCTGTGTGGAGTATATCATCGTTTACATAAATGGCAGAATAGTTCAAGGATAACATGTATACTAGTCAGCCAGTAAAGTAAATATTCTTTCACAATGGAAGGTTCAAAGGGTGATACCTACCTATCTTATGTAGGCTTCAACCGTTGAACTTTATCACCTAATCTTGTGTTTCAAGGTCACCAAGTCTTATGTCTCACGGTCTCATGTCTCTCCCAATTTTCATTCATGTGGGGGATTGTTGGAAAAAATGAGTAAATGGCTCACTTTTGGCAAGATTTTCGGTGGGACCCGTTAGTCTAATTTGGAATATCAAAATTGATCATTGTTCTCCTCCGTGAGAGTATCGAAACCATATATTTATTTGCCAAAATTGATGAATGGATGAATGAGAAATTGGAGATCAAAGATGATCATTGGAAGTGGTTTATGTAGGAAAATAACACTAGTCCCACATAGAAAAATGAAGAAAGTATTAACCACTTTAAATATGACTATACATTGGAAAGGTGTAATCATGTGTAGCATAAAGGCTCTCTCCATGTGCGCACGCAGGGGGTGCAAATCATGAACCGAAATTGCTTTCAAACCTTGAACTTGTGTGCGAGCGCGACCTGTGTACACGAATATCGGACCGAATGGAGCAAAAATTAGCCTGTTTGGAGTGTCCACGTTTTGCAATTTTTTTGCTTTCTTCAACTAACTTTTGAGTTTCCAAAACTGCCAAAACTCCAGCAAAAACTGAAATGGCTCCAATGTTTATTGCCATAGAGTTATTGGACAAATTTATGTTATATTAAATCTCAATTTTTTAGCAATTCATACATACGAAAAAAAGGCTCTGTCTCGCACCAGAAAATACTCTGCATAGTTTTGTTCTGTCTGCATATACATAATTTCTAGTCGTGGTGGTGACATTGTTCGAATACAAACTCTATTCGCTAGAGTATTTTCTGTGGTGCTCAGATTCTATGGGGTTTTACTGTTGTATCCTGAGAAATAGACGCTCGGATTAGATCTCAAGCACTATGATGCGAATTTATTTTAAGGAAACTGTGTTCGCACAAGCCTCTTGTTAAAATTTTATTTACATTCTACAATTTATTCTTGCAAGTTATTTATTTATTTAACGATTTCCAATTTACAATTTACTAGATTCATATATGTTGCAGTTTACTAGTTTTATATATTTATGTTAGAAATAAAAATAAAAAATAATATATATATATATATATATATATATATACACACACGGTGAGCTTCACTGCCAAATACAGTGAGCTACCATATACGATGAGCTATTAAATACGGTGAGCTGCAAATACGGTAAACCGTCTGCAAATACGATAAGTTTCATGTAAAATTGGTATCTAAACTACATATACGGTATGTGATAATCCGGTTTCATTAATATCACTATATTCCAACATAATTTAATATAAAGGTGCTGACAACTCAGCACTTATACGGTGCATTTTTTTTATTTGTTTTGATTGAATGAATGAAATTCTGTCACGCGTACATCTATGAACAAATTCTATGACAATTGTCAGTACATGGTTCCAAATTCTTCATGGTCCAGGGTTCCACAGTGATATTTAGAGGATTTTCTTGATTATTGGTGGACTTTTAATACATAAAACTGCACCCCTTTTCTCACACCTGTAAAGGAAGAATTTTGTTGAGAAAAAGCTGTACAAAACTATGAAATTATAGGCTATTAAGAAATTATAAGTGGCCAGGAACTTGTTCATTTTTAGCGGCAAGATCTGCCTTGGAATCAGGAATTGGTGACTAGGATGGATCCCCACACCTCTGGGTTGGATTTAAAGTTAACCCATAAAGTATTATTTATCTTCATTCTCCTTTTTCTTATAGAGAATCTTAATATTTAACTATAATTATTTGGTGGGTTTAGAATACAGTTATCATACTCGAAATGATCACTGATTCACACGCCATTTGATCACCAACTCATTGGTTCAATCGATCGATCACTAGTAGGTTTTTGCTCTTTAAGCTTTTTCAGACAAGTACTAAGGATCATTTGACAGAATTTTTGCTTTTGCTTTTACTTTTGCTTTTGCTTTTGCTTCTACTTTTTACCGAAGATCTTTTTGAAAAGCTACTTTAGATTAGCATATAAAAGATCCATTTGGCGTAGTTTTTGCTTTTACTTCTTGTAAAATAGCTTTTGGAGGAAACTACCCTAATTTTTACTCAAAAAAATCGAAAATGCTTTTAGAAAAAGTCACATTGAATCAGCTTCCTTTAAAAGTTCTTTTAACTTTCAAAAGCAATTTAACAAAATTAATCAAACGAGTCCAAAAATTACTTTTGGATCTCAAAAACTCCTTTTGATTTTTCAAAAGTTATACCAAATGGACCCAAAGTCCTTTTAAGATAAAGCACATTCAAAAATAGTTTTTAATTTTCAAAAAAAGTGAAAATTACATGGAAGCTTGCTTTTAAAATTTACATTTCAAAAATCGGATTTAAGGTTTATTTATGCAAAAATCAGATAATAATATAATTTTTAAATATTAATAATAATCTTATAAAACTAATTTAATCTACTCCATCCCACCCCTCATCAAACCCAAATAGTAAATCATTGTTCATTTCTATTCTCTCTATCTTTCCTCTACGTCGTCTCTCTTCTGCCACCAAAGAAAGATCCACCATCAGTGCATAGTAGATGAAAACGCATAGCATTAGGACCATTGAAAGCCACAACATCAACGTTGCGCACAGTGGGCAACGATAGCATAGTTGTGTACGATGTTGCTGCATCAACTACGAGGGACGACGTGCTCATCCCATGGTGCCTCACGCATGACACATAGCAACGGCGCCTTCAGAAGCCACAACAACAAAGTCACGCATGGTGAGTGTAACAGTGAGGCTGTGTGCAACGTTGTTGTAGCAGCTGCAGGACGTCGTCGCTCAAAGTAGCCATTCTTTATTCTTCCAGTTCTATTCTGTTATGATTTTATGGTGCTTGTAATCATCGATGCTGTCATGGTTGCGGTAGTTGTGCAATGATTTAGAATATGTTTTGTGGATGGATTTTACAAGTGGTAGTGGTGCGACAATGCAAGTGGGGTGAGGTGGGAAGAAAAGTGTTTGTGAGCAATATTTGGTTGATTGTAACCATTAAATAAATTGTAACTAATTATTTGATTGATTGTGACAAATAATTAGGTTAATTTGTGATGAAGAAATAATGTGATCCCCAAAATGTGATTGTAACTGACAATTTATTAAATTGTGACCAAGAAACTATTCGTGGCCAATTCATTTGATAATTTACGATCATTAAATAGGTTGTGACTTATAAAATTTGTAATTTTTGATTGATGAAGAACTTGTAACCTATGAAATTATTGATTTGTGTTTGAAAAATAATTCATGACTAATTAATTCATTAATTGTGATCAAATTGTATAGATTTGTTACATTAATTTATTGAATTAATTATTATCTAATGTTTAAAGTTTTAAACCTTTTTTCTTAATTTTAAAATGGGTCATACTTGTTTTATTACATCCGAAATTTTTCCTTCAAAAAATTTGTCAGGCCCCAAAACTTGGTACGTAGTGAACAAACAACCCATTGCTTGTGGGCTCAACTGTCCAGTTTAGAACTAATCTTAGCCCAAATATATTGAGCTGACCACAGTACAGGTGTCTGGTGTTATTGTTGACAACACCTATGCCAGGCCAGGCCATTCTAGAATTTCATGTCACCGTTCAACACTATGATCCAGAGTGCTCTCAGACAGAATAACTGATCCTTCAAGTTATCAAACACAATTTCATCCCGCTTTTTCCTGTATCGCCTACAGAGCAGGCTTGCATACGCTTTTTGTACAGATTCACTCTTTCTTCCAGAATCTCTCTTGGTTCAGTTATTGATTTCACCTTTCAATATATTTTTTTTTTTTTCTGACTTTATGGTTTTAGAAACTAGGGTTTTATATTAAAAAAGTTATAAGAAATCGGCTATGGGTGAATTGAAGATGGAGGAGATGTCGCTTCCAGTTCTGTTCGAGCAGGCTCGAAAAATTCACGAAGCTGCATCCGAATCATCCGTCGATCAGGTTTTTCTCTTTTTTCAAATTTTCTTTATAATTTTAATTAATTTGAATTATTTATAGCTTTTATTTTTGTATTTTATAGGAGACTGTGAAGAAAGGTTGCGACTTGTTGAGGCAATGCGAGTTTATGATTGGAAAGTTGGGCTTATTTTCGGCAAATGAGACCAAGGATGATATTAGCACTACCAATCTCAAATATCTTCTGGCAAGTGTTTATCAGAAATTGAGAATTTAGAAAAATGAAACAAGACTTGAAACGATTTTTTTACCACTGTTTTAGGTTCTGAAATAACGCTTGGTGAACACGTGATCTGCTTTGTATGATATGTGGTGTGAAATGAGATGTTTTTATTTAACTTGTCGGAATTTGAATATTTGGGTGGGACAAAACGTGGAATTTACAATTGAAAAAAGTTTATTTTGTTGAAAAAATCATTAGTTTTTTGTTGCATTCATGAGGAGCTTATTGATTTCATTAAGGGAATGTAATTCATTTCTTGAAATGCGTGTCTAATGACGATAGAATATAAGAGAATAAAAACTGAAGCTCCACTTATGAGATTGATTAGAAGTTTGAATTTATTCGGCCAGTAAAGTTTTGACTATGAGTAGAAAATTTATGATGTCAAGGGTGTGTTTCTATTGTAATCTTTAAGGATGTGAACCTCTTATTATGTTTCTCAACCTAAATGATGCCTGTGAATTGCTATTTCTCTCTTCATAATCATCTTTTCTTCCATTTATTTGTATGCTTTGCACAATTTGTTTAATAGGGATTGAGTTCGAGCCTTTGAAGGAAAACTGATGTATGTAAGCGTAACTTGTTTACATATAGTTGATTAATGATATTACTTTTTATCTCATTACATCTGATACAGGTGCCTTATTATCTTGCTGAGTTGATGGAGAAATTTGCACAAGAGGACAGGATTCAAATTCTTAAGGCTTCACAGGCCAAGTTGAAGGTAATAATTTTTTGCCACAAAGATGTCTTAAGAAAGTCTATATATGCATCTTTCCATTTCTTATTGTTAGTGAAAGCAGTACTTAACAAAATTTAGTGATGTCCTGAATTCTTGGTTTTCCCTTGGCCCTACTGCTAGGAGTTTATCTCATTTTGTGAGGCGATGGAGCTTGTTCCTGAAGATGAATTAGCAGCATCTGCACAATCGGGTGGTAATTCATTTGCAGATCAGAGGGCTAAGAAGGTATGAATTTATATTGCTATGAGTTCCAAGGATCATATATCTAACTGTATTTCATTTTGCATTCTGCCGTTTATTGCTGCTTGAAACTGAATACAATTTTGATACTAATAATATCACCTCATTCCAGATTGCTCGGTTCAAACGTCAAAAAGCTGCTGAATCCAAATTGCTAGAAATAAAGGAGTGGAAGGAACGCCGTGGGCGTTCAACTAGAGCCTCTGCGTTATCTACTCCAGTTGAGGCAGGGGAAGATGATCAGCTTGATGATGATGGAGAAGAAGAAAGAGAGGTCAGTTGTTTTATTTACATTTCAGGCTCTTCTTTTAGTGTGTTGTGGCTCATTATTTATATTTTGTATGATGTTCCCCTAATTTTACTCCCTAATTCTGATTTTCTAACACAAGGAACAAATCCGTGTTAGCTGTTTGCGTGGTGAAGGGAGAGTTTTAGAACAGTTTCTTTTAGCCACGGTTTTCGACTTATGTGTTGAATGGACTTTTTCTAGGCAGCTGTTACCTAAATGTTCTGCTGCTCAACTGGTTGCTTGTTACTTGGGAAATGCTTGTTGATTGTCAGATTTACTGGTGTCTGAGCATCACTTGTTTCCCGTTGTGGCATTTCATCCTTGTTACACATGAAGCTTATTTTGACGAACTTACTATCTAAAGTGGACTATTATACAATGATTCACAGAGTGCTACGTGTGTAAAGGATTCACGATGATAAATTTCATCCATTTGTGTGGTTGTTTATTTCCTCCTCTCCTTGTAATTCTATGAATTTTTTGCTGAATGTTATTATTACTGTTTCCGTAGGCATGGCTGGCTACCATATCCTTGGTGCTCTGTAAGGTTGGTCCAAATTTCAGCATTTTCTGTGCCTTCCCAGCTGCTGCTTCTTTTTCTGTTTTTTATTTACTCATTTTTATATAATCAAGCCTCTCCATAAACTTTATGCAGGCGTTTGATCTGTTGGAAATGCTGAAGAAAGAGGAAGAGATGCTTTCTGCTATAAAAGAAAAGCAGTCACAGGTATAGCGCATTACATTTTGGGTAGGATGTGATGTTGCATTTCATCAACTTTGTTATGGTCATGATTGATGGTGCCAGGTGGCAAGCGTGTTTGTCTAAATCTAAAAAGTGTATAGTTACTTTTAAGTAACTTTTTGCTGCCTAAAATATTTGAATAGGCTCATGTTTATAAACGCTCAAGTCACTTTTTATCTAAACAGTTGACCCACTTATCCACCGCTCATTTTTATATATTTATAATTTAAACCAATTTTAAACACTTCCTAAACATGCTCTATTATTTACTCTTCTCAAATATAATTACTCATTTCTCTCTCTACCCTGGCTGTCAATATAAGGAATTTACTTATTTCTAACTTTCATCAATTAAAGAAATTATTTGTTCTAAACCTTATTTACTTGTATGTGAACTTTTTAAGCTTAGCAAAACATTCTACTTTTAAGTGTTTCTTTTCATATGTCATGCTAAATAATTAGGTAAGACACTGAGATGCATGCATGCTATTTTCCACAGGAAGGGGACGTTGAAATTTCACAGCTTACCCTTGACGAGCGCACCAAGAAAGCCGAGGCCTGGCATCGGAATGCTGCAACACGAGTTCGATATACAAAACCTGCACCTCCAATCACATGTGCTACTTTTGCTCAAGATGTTATAGAGGGGAGAGCTAATGTTTCGCAGGCTCACGAGCACAAGCACCAGCCAATGATTTTTGGACCAACAAGTCTTGTGGCCAAAAACCCTACAAGTGAACGGGAAATAATGGCTGCTCAGGTTTTCCAGCCTCATTATAGGTATGCTAGGTTTCATTAAAAATGAATTAAGATTATAATTAACAAATAAACTGCTATAGCTCAATGGGCTATCCCTTGTGGCGTGATTGGTAGGATGGACTGAACAGCGTTAAACATTACTAAAAAAGAGAGGAAAAAAGTATCTTGCGCCTTGTGCTTGCCAGTAATCCACCTTACTGAACATGCAATGGATGTCTAATTGCTTAATTTTGAGTACTGATTTGCAGATTACCAACAATGAGCATAGAGGATGCTGGATTAAAGGAGATGGAAATAATGAATAAATGGCAAGAGAGGAATATGCAGCTTATGGAAGAAGCCAACTCCTCATGGTATAAGGATAACCAGAAGTCGAGACCAGGCGAAGAGGAGGATGAAGAAGAAGATGATGCTGCTCAAGAGAAAGCAAGGGCATGGGACGACTGGAAAGATGACAATCCTCGTGGTGCAGGTAACAAGAAGCTCACTCCATGTGGCTAATGGAAAGATGGTTGTTCTCCGAACTTGCTAAATTTCTTGCTTGATTGTATCCGTTTGCGTCTTATTGATATCATTGTACTATTTTTGCGCATGCTGAAAACCATAACACTGTATAGCAGCAATAGTTGGTTGTATTGTCTTTATGTCGAACTTGAAATCCTAATCGAACTCAGCATTGTTCATCATTTCTATGATACGAAGTGATGGCAAAATTCACAACTTACAATCTGCGCCGCATTGTCCCAACCTTTCTCAAATCTTGCCTTGCTTCCCGAAAATTCCCCCGACCGCCCGTTCCTGTGGTATATTTGTCAGCAGTATTGCCATTAATGTAAAATGACAATGTTCAGGGCGGATTTGTGCTCGGTCCAGGCTGCGCTCTTTTGGATGCCTTGAGCCTGGGTCTCCAAACTGATGCCAAGGCTGTGGGTGCCCTCTTTAATTCTTTTCCTTACTCTCTTTCTGAAAATTAACTTCTTGTGTATTACACTTCAAAGCTTGGTGGAACTTTTACGGACTATTGCTTCAAAGACAGTTGTATAAAGTAACATGACTTTCTTGATCTTATTATTTGTTTTATCAATTCGAACTTTATTTTTGTTGACGTATTTCGTTTTTCTATTGGAAGTTTTGAATTACTTCCACTTGATCAAATCCCTGGGTGCGTTCAACAAAGATAAGTGAATTGCTAGTACTTGTTAATAAGCTATTTTTAATATTTTATTAATTAACATTTCAACAAAATTAAACCTTCGTTCTTGTTTATTATGGAATGTCAATAATTGATTAGATTGAATTACACATATTTTAACATTTTTTTCTTTAATTTCGCTTTCATTGAACGTCATAAGGTAAAACCATAGTTGTAAACATCAATTAGGATTGTAGGCCACGAAGGAAAATCAATTCAAAGTGTGTATAAAATTGGAATCATAATAAAGTTGAACAAATTCAACTCATAAACGATGGTCAATTGAAATTGTATTTTATTATATTTCTTTGGAATCCAAATAGAATCGTACAAAATTCCGATGCCAACAATTACGATCCCATGAACTCAATATTAAATTGGTTCCGAGCAATTCGATTTAACAATTAATCTTTCAATATCGATTAAATAATTAATCTTTCAAAATTATTAAATTTTATATGAAATCGTCAAAAATAAATTATCGAAGGTTACTTCACGATCCAGTGTAACATCTAAACTGGCGCAGAGGCCCATTCGCAAATTTTGAACATAGAACTGCAGGGCTTTACCGTAAGGAAGCCCTTCCAGAAATTCTCGACGGCCAAGGACAAGCCCAGGCCGAAGAGGGGGTTTGGAAATAGTTTTCAACCAGCAATAGACGCGCCTCGGTTAGAACCTCACTAGCTGCGTCATTGCCCCAAGCGCAAAGATGGTTTAAAGTCTTCTTCTCCCTCCCTTTTTATAGCTATAATTTCCTCACCTTTTCTAACCACCATCGATGTGGGACAAATTCTACATGCACTTGCCGCCACTTTCAAACATTCAGATTGAGCGGCGTTCTGGCAGACCGTTCTCCATATAATTTACCCTTCAGCTCTGTGTGTGTGCATATCTTGTGGCTTTGCTCTTGCATCTAAAGTCGATGATATCTGGTTTAGCTTATAAGTAAATCTGAGCTGCTCATAGGTATTTGTACACCCGTGTCATCTGCATTTTGTGCGCCGTGCAGCACGTCAAGATTTGCTGTGGGATCATCCAGAGTCTGAGGGTCGATTACATGAATCTTCTTTAATCATACTATTTTGTTCTTTGTTAGATTACTGACAGAACAAGATAAAAATTCATTCTTACAGAGTTTAATTTATATATTTTTTCATTAATAATAGATTTTTTCAACTGTAACAAGCTCAAATAATAACAAATTATCCACCGCTTATTAGATGGTCTGGTACATCATTATATGGAATACACTCTCGAGACGAAAGAAAACATCAAGTAAAAAATTGAATAAATTAAGCAATCTATTGACAAACAGTAGGATATATTCTTATTCGGTCCTCCAAAATTATGTCTTCATCTGGTAATACCCAGTGAGCCTGTCCACTATTTCAATTCTTGCATTTGGGCTTCTTGGAGCCTGATAAGTTGCTTTTCCTCCACCTGAGCTCGACGACATGTAGCTTGGCCCATTGACTGTCACTCCTCTTGTCGACGAGTTCCATGGGGTTCCCGGTGGGCTTCGTTGTTTGATCGGAACTTGGCCCCGAACTTTTGCTTTTGCAGACTGTGTTGGGACCATGAAGCTAGGAATATGATCAAAACTCAAGCTAGGCTGTTGCAGAGTCATACGGAGGCTCGATTCCTTTGGGACTCCCCTACGTCGGCCCATGTTTGCATTTTCGAAGCCTAATGATGTGTCATCTGTTGAGGTGCCTGTCACATGGGAGCTTTCCCATAGCACATTTTTCTTGGTATTGTAGGGTTGCGAATCCTTCCACTGCTCGAGCCAGTTCCAACCCCACTGTTGCTCGATATTCTCGTGATCACCATTTTGATTAGAATATATGAGTTCGTGCTGCTGCTGCTGCTGCCAAGGTAAATCTAATTTTAGTCTTTACTTAATAGGTAAATAAGTTCATGTAAAAATAAGTTGTTCAGCCTAACACGAGGATAAATATATCAAACCTGATGGCCAAAAGCATGGGCTAGAGCTCTCTCCCTTTTCATTTCATTTTCCCTGTTTCTCTCCCGACCTTTTGTCTCCAGCTTGTTCATTGGACTTCTTTGCACATGCTCTTCTCGTCGTGGTCCGAGTCTTTCTTCTAGAAGCTTGTTGTGCGCTAATTGCAGTCTACGTGCGCGGACTCTTGCCTGCACCCGTACTAGTGCTTGCATGCATCGCATTGTCATCTGCGCTTGCTTCCGCACATTGTGGCCCCTCACTAAAGCTTGAAGCCTCACCAAGCCCTTGAGAGCACGTAATGCACGTCTTGCCTACGAAATTACAAAACAACAAAAAAACAAAAAAATCAAATAGACGAGTAATTAATTTTTGTGGTGTTTGGTGTCAGAGAGAGTCAAACAATGTGTTCATAATAGAATGTTTATTCAGAAAACGGACTTTTATGCCCAAGCATTGTATTTTGGACCGTGTGGAATCCAATATATTGTTCTCTCATCGATCAAGGATATTGACCTTCGTAGTTTTTATCGCGTCCCTCGGATTCGAACTTAAAACTTCTGCCTCGTGAGAAACTTAAATTGAATCTTAGTACCAATCAGCATTCATAAGTTGCAGTCGATCTAGCATAGAGTACTTGCTGCTACATCTGTTAAACAAATGTATTATTGCAATCCAACTAGAGAGAAAGGAAGACAGAAATTACCAGGTATCCTCTGTAACAAGATTGTATAAAAGTTGCAGCTCTTTCTTCCTTGGAATGACGTCCATATCCGGCTAATCTAACAACTTTAGCAGCTGCCTGAGCTGCCGCAACAGCAGCTTCAGCAGCAGCAGCAGTCGCAACAGCGACGGCATGAGCACGATTCTGATCTTCAGCCACTGGAGACGAGTAGAAGCTCTCACCATTTGTAACGTCTGGAGAACTGTCTGCAGGAAAATGTTCGAGGTACAAAACCTCTGGAGCTTCGTGTTGCCATTTCTCTGCATTTTCCTTTTCAAAATCATATCATCACAACATTAGTACTTGTGCACGGTTACTTTCATCAAACGATATCGTGTTTCTTCCCCCCTCCACCCCCACACACCCCCCAAAAAATTAAAAAAAAAAATGATTGTGTGGAATGATCAGGAATTAAGTCTTATTCCAAATAAATTTTGCGTAGCGACGAACCAAACAGGGCAAGAGGGCAATGCGAAAAAAAGAAAAAAATAACCTCACTTATAGTAGATTCCAAATTTATCGAGTGAACTAACCTTCTTCTCAGGCAAGTCCTTGGAGGACTGTTTAAAGATCTTCTTCAGATTGGAAAACCAACCACCACCACCTCCTTTCTTCCCCATTTCCGGCCAATAATGGCCTTCTACAGGATCATAAGTCCAGGGATAAAACAGTCTAAAAGGAAAAGTGGATATGTTAAAACCTCAAAATTTCCGAAAAAATAAAATAATAATAATAATGATTTTATTGAATTTAATCTGTAGAAAATAGCACGAACATCAGAAGGCCCCTTTAACTCCAAGCATGCAGAGAGGGAATGTATGAATATGTAGAGAGAGAAAACTGAGGTGGTATTTAACAATATCACGGGAGTGCTATATGCCTATATTGTTGGCCTGATGAAATGGGATTCTACCACGTGTCCATTTCCTTCTTCAACAGGGCTTTGATCACTGTCTTTCTGTGGACAAACTGACAAAGATCTGAAAGTCAAAGTCAATGAAGATTTATCGTATTCTGAACAGGATAAATCTTCATTCTGAATTTGAAAACAATTTTTTCTTTTTCTTGTTAGATGATTTAAGTGCAAGGAAAGGGAAGTTTATTATAATATAATATACATGTGTACCCTATCTTCTTTCTGTTCTAATCTGATAATGAATCGAATAGATAACTTATAAGTTAGATCATTTTGTTAGTCAATACATTAATCATTCTTCTCCTATTAAACTTGTAAGTTCTTTACGAGAATGATTCGATACATTTGAAAATTTTTGCCCGCAGGCTCACCAAAGGCCGTAAAGAGCACATGTAACATATATGTACGAGTTACATAAAGTAGGTTTTGAGTTGATGATACTACTTACCTATGATCGAAAAATTCTTAATTAACAACATTAATCATTTACTTACCTAATTGTGACAACATATTCTGATTTTCAAATTCATTGAATTTTCTATGCTAATGACATTTGATTTGTCGGAACTATGATTTCGCTTATTCTACCATCCAAATCATATCTTGCACTAAACGTCAAAGGTATATTTATTATCAAATTGTGAGCAGATTGGTTCATGTTGATTTCAATCCTATATAATATCTGCCATATAAGTTTCTTTTAAGATTGCTGAGTTGTGAAGTTTAATTTCTAACCACAATTTTCAGACAGTTGAGAGATTTAAAGTGATGCCAATAAAGGGATTGTGACCAACTTTTGCTTGCATTTAAAGGGAAATTGAAGAGAAGGGTAAGTTATCAATTGGGAAGGTAGATAAAGTGTTAATTGAAAATGGTGATGAGCACTTTTCAATCTCAACACATTTGCAAATTGCCATCTTTTAGTACGGTTAAATATAAGGATACGACACTAGTTGACTTTGCATATCTATGTGCTCCCCCGACCGCGGCCCGCTCCTCGTACATATACCCTAGTTCGTTGAGGGTAGGAAAATGATCTCAAACTTACGAGTAATGCTATGTAGTTTCACGAATACTGATAGTGATGTCATTGTCACATTGTTCAATAAGGTTACATTTAGTACATTGAATCAAGCCGTATTAGGTAAACGGTATTGTGGTAAATTAAGGTGATAATATTTTTTAATTTTTTATTCAAAAGTTAGTCTTATATGCAAAATATTCAACTGGCCGGCTTGTTTTTCCTGAAAAGAAAAAAAAATTCAAAATGCAAAATATTCTTTTTTTTTGCCCAATCGCGTAGGTAAAAACGGATTCAAAGCCTTGGCCGGACATTTATGTTGTATGAATACGCTCATCTTTAGAATAAGATTTCGTTCAAGGCTCCATTCATTCGAAGAAATAAATTTTAAATTTCTGCCAAAAACGAAAACAAATGATTTAAAACCTTTCTTCGTTTATAGAGAAAGTTACTGTAACAACAAAACATCAGGCTGTAATTATATTATAAATATGTTTAAGGAACTGAAATAATTAAAACAACAAATGCCAAGGATAATACAAGCAAACGTTTAAACTGAAATCACAAGGCATTATTATGCAAAGAAAACCGAAACAGTTAAGACTGCCGCAGGCTTAATCTAATGAGAACTCTTAGATACATCATGACATTATCGTCTTAAAGAACTTCACTAGTAAGAAATGAAATGACTATAGAACATATACTTGAAACCAACTAATATTGGAAGCAAATTAACGTTCCTCGAGCTTGATGTCTGTTCATACCACATTTATTCTTCGTGATCAGTAAAAGCTCAATACATGATTGGTTGGTAGCTAAACTTTATAAAATTGAATTGTTGAACTTCCTCAAAGAAATACAGCGAACTTAATCATAGTAAAAATGCCCTGTAAATAAAGCTAAAAAAATGTTTACACGTACACATTTCCCTTGCACCAACCAAATATAATCGCAATGAGGTAATAATACAAGATATCCACAATTAAAGAATAAAAATAAGTCTTAAAACCAACTTGAAATTCAACTGGCCGGCTTGTTTTTCCAGAAATTCCTTCACAATATTGAATAGAACGACAAAACAATAAATAATCATATAACATTCAGTAATTCATATATCAGGCTTAGACAAAAAGGTTCCGAAACCCATTAACTCAACTGCAAATATCGCAGAACAAGTCACTGTAGTATTCTTCTCCGTCTAATTCTTTTCGAATAAGGGATATTTTCATTTTCTTCCAGAATTTTTACTATTTTCTCGCATTTTGCATGTTACGAAAATGAGAGCTCCCCTTCGATTTGGATCTCACTCTTGATTTGGGTTCTGTAGAGAGGCTTTGGAGCAACCGAGCAACGGTTTTGGGGGAAACAACGAAAGAGACATTTGTCCGTGTATGCTCAAGTTTAATCTTCTTTGCCAGAACAAACCGTCCAGAAACAGTGTCAAAAAAGTATGCGACAGGAGGTGATTGAATGAAATAGATTATTGTGTTTTAAATTGTCCAATAATAAAATGTCACATCATGTCAAGTATAATGTACACGTAACATGATACGTTTGACTGAAACTATTGGAGCAAGATTATTGTGTGATTCATGCTTTAAAATATTCCAAAAAATTACGGAAAGTATAAACTATAAAAATCGCACGCATTTCTAGAACATAACACAAACAAAAGGAAGCAACGCTTTCAAATATAAAGATATAAAAGCTCAAGCAAATATGTGGTTCAATTCTGTGGTTGTCCGACCAAAAAAGAACATTTAGTAATAAATAATAATTCCCACAAACACCCATCCTCCTCGTCGGATCAGGCCCCGTTTAATAAATAGCAACTTTCTAAACGCTTAAAATACAGGGTGTGGTATAAGCTGCAGCTAGAATACCAAAATACTCAAATTTTGTATACAGGAGTAATTCCTAGCAAATGGAAGCATTTTCTCATGACGACTGCTGTTGCCTCGCACAACAAGAGTCGACTTGTCTCCTCTGCTGAGCCAACAACCTGTATTGATTTCAAAGAAGAGGTTGAGAAGACTAGCAAGTACAATCAATAAGACGTGCAATTGCCAATTATTTTGTTAAAGCCCTTACCACAAGAGGTAATTAAAATTAAGACTTCAAGAATCTGCCATTATATTGTAAAGTGCAGTAGACGTAAAAGTTATAAGCAGCAAGATGTAGCACCAGAAAAATTTTTACTAGTTCACCGAATACTAATCAAGCTTGCTCTTAGCACAACCCCAGTTTTAGGTGCGCTAAAATTAGGTGGGGCCAGCCCAGTTTAGGAGACCCGTTTAAGGCCTTATCAGACTGCAATTTTTCCCAAAAAAATAATAAAAAATAAAATTCTTGAGGACTGAGTCCAATCAATCAATTAACCGCATTAGAGGCCCATCCAGACCGCTCATCATTTTTCACGCCTCTACTCATGGCCAAGGAAAATAAAAGGCGCATTGAGAAAGATGCCATTCAGCAAATGCCTTTGCCACATAAAGCCTTATATTATTAATTAAAGACTCAAGAAATCGAAAATAGAGCTAATATATGGGCGAGAAAAGTAAGGAGAGCATGCTTCAAGTTGTGGCATTCATAAACCGTTTGATAGGATAACAATCTCAAAAAAGTTCCCTTCCCCACAAAATAACTCCATTCCGGAGTAATATACAGCGGTAATGAACTGTAGTCTTTGCAAAACGGATTTCAGGAAGACAAGATGAACTTTGAGCCTTCAAAACTTATTGGAGTTAACTATCATTAAAGCACATCTTCTCATCGTGTTTCTGAACTTGAAATTAGATTGCAATTTCTTACTTAAACCTATTTAATTTCCATATGCAAATAAATAGCCCAAGCCAGCAAGCAACAGACCCACCCTTTATTCTCAAGCAACCCTCAAAATCATCATTACACTAAAAAAGCCTTCAAATATTTCTTAAACATTCTTTTTCCACTTTAATTTTCGTTGCTATATAAATTTATGCTTCATACCTGACAGTTGGTATAAAATCTTGTGAAGTCTTCAGATAAATTGTATAAATATTCGCACAACACATTCGGCAAAAGATTGGTGCATGCCTCTTCAACATTCTGCAACGGGTGGAAGAAAAGCAAAACCCAAAATAATACAATGAAGTATATAAGAAAATGTCAATGCATCCAACAAATTGCAACATGTATAGACATGGCTATATCTTCTAGGATTGTTATTACCTCAGCAAATTGGAGCAAATGAAATCCTAATACACGTTCATCGGGATGAGCCAACACTAACTTTCCAACCTGTCACAAATATAATCAAGAATTGTGTACTTTGAATGTTTTTAGGTAAGCTATAAAAGTTTATTAACGAGTGGATGAGTTTTGAAAAATTAACTTCTTCGGTTGGTAAAAATTTGAAAACAAGTATGTTACTTATTTTGACTATAACATTTACTTTCAAAATAGGTAACTTCTTTTCACTTAAAACTAAGAAAAGTGTAAGTTATTCATACTTGTGGGGAAAAAATAAATAAATAAATAAAACAAAATAAAATATTTTAAGCTAGTTAAAATGCCCATTGAAAATGTTTCCAGCAGCCACTAACATATGGCTTAGATTTTTCGAACTAACAATAGGTGGCATTCTTGGGCCAGTCATGAGAAGCCAAGCTTATCGTCAAAAGTTTAGATCAAGTTTGAATACAGAATAATGATGCAAGTACTCTACTTGTAAAAGACAAAATTGGAATTTGATGAAAAATCGAATTGATCAAATTTGGAAATAGTTTCTTATTCAGAAAATTATTATTTTCTTTCACAATTTAGAACAAATGAAAAATTAAGACCTAAAAATGAGCAAAAAGCTTAATAATTTAACCTTTGGTAATAACATTTAGTATATAACAAACATTGAAAGATACAGGTAGGAACACAACTTCAAGGACAGCATCCCACCTTTTTCAATTCTTCTATATCTTTACCCGATTTCCTTATAATTGAGCATATTCGGGCATGT